ATAAATCTCAAAGATCTGGACATACAAAACATTTTTGAGTCATTACCTACGTAGGGCAAACATTTTTCTAGAAGATGACAGGTCGGCGAGCTCTTTGCGATGGTTTTTTATGATTTTACATGCGTTTTACGACAACCACTGTATTTGTGGCCCGTCTCCTACTGGTTTTTACCTCAGTTTTGATTTATTGAGCAAATGGAATAATTTACATATGGTTGAATAGAGCATCGAAATTTACATCTAATGGCATGCTTTCTCATCTTCATCAGTTCATATCAGTAGAGAAAAGAAAATTTTAATTTTGTAAAAATGACTGGGAAACGGATATTATGTGTGGAAACACTTTTCTTCTACTTTTCACAAATCAACCATTTTACTTTTGCGCGTAAAAACTACACACTGTGCACATTAAGTCAGTGACCTAATGCCTAATGCCATTCACACTTTAGTAAATTGAATACAGTTCTTGACCGATAAGTGGCAGAGATTTGGAAGAAACAATTTCAAAGAAAGAACTCTGCTCTACAATTATAAATATTAGAAGAAATTTTAAAGAATGATTTCAAAGAGTCATATTTAAACTTAAGTGCAAGCATAATTTCGATTAAATAGTCGGTAGGACATGCGTCAAGAAAATTTGACATACACCACCTGAAAATCCCGAGATTTATAAATCCCCATATATGAAAAGATGCAATCAGGTCTTGGTTACAAAATGGTGAAGACCGCAGGTCTCTACCTTTTTTACTTCAAGAGTTATTCGGAAATATCCGACTCAGCTGACTCCTTTTTACAGATAATAGAATACAGACCGTCTTTTTAGTGCCAGAACGGGTTCTTAGCTGCGTTTCCTCACCTAGACAGATGCAATTATGAAAGAGAATGACATACCAGGTTGGCCTAATCGGTTAAGGCGAATATGTAAGTATACTCTATGTTTATACCATACGTATGTTCGTGGGTTCGAATACTACACCTGGAATTCTTCTTATTTTTGGGACGGGGTCAAAACGGGTCCCAAGTACGAACTATTCTCGTACCCGTCCCCACGGGTCCAGGTACGGGCCGTTCTCGAACGGGTCAGTTACGCCCTCGTACTTTTCAACACGAGAACTGGTTCTGGTATTGGGCGTCTTTTCATGTTAGAACGTGTTAGGTACGACCCCGTACTTTTTTATGTTGTAACGCGTTGAAGTACGGTCACCCGTACTTTTCTGATACGGGACACCGACACGGAATTTGGCCAAGTGACGGATCCCTTTTGGCTTGGTACGGGGCGTATTTTAATTACTGCGACACCGCACTTTTCCCCGTTCTTACCCTCTTGGGTTAATAGTCTGTTTTGGATTAAAGTATTGATTTAGTTTTTCTCTAATAATTTTCTGAACCAAGACATTAGGATAACCATTCATTCTGGCAAGCTCCCTAATTTTCCTGAATTCTTTATCCAGCAATTGGTATGTGGAATATATACGAATTGCCCTGCAGGCCAGCGTACTTATAGCATTGCGTTTGTACGACATGGGTATATAAGAGTCCCAACACGTGAGGAGTCCAGTGAACGTTGGCTTTCTATACACAGTTGCGGTGAAGCTTGGCGTCAAACGAGTCACTTTTACATCAAGAAAGGGTATGGAACTACCACTATCTTCTAATTCAAAAGTGAATGTCATTGATGTGTGGAGTTTTGAAAAGTGTATTGAGCGGTAAAATCTCAAAGCGTAGCAAAAATACATCTACAAATAGTAGTCGTGTCTCAATACAAATATGTCAGCGACGGCCAGTCACGCGCTCTAAAATGGATCGCTTACCCCTAACCATGGAAAAACCCAGCAGATCTCTCTTAGAATACTTTGTTCTATGACGACCGCACTAGGAGTGCATCGGTTATTTTTTCGTATTTTCCAAAAATTCACAATAAATGTTTTGTATTTTCATAAAAACGATTTGCAACATTTACCCTCACCCTCACCGATACGCCTCTCTATCAAAAACTCTTTTTAAAGAAACCCAAAACCTTTAAAATTAACTATTATATTTCATCTTGTAGAGAAATGTTTTCTCTACAAAACTGCCGTTTTAGAAAAATGTTGCAAATCGTTTTTATGAAAATACAAAACATTTATTGTGAATTTTTGAAAAATACGAAAAAATAACCGATGCACTCCTAGACCGCAAGTATCTCGTACTTTTATCGTATACCGCACGTACCAAAAAACAATTCTGGATGTATGCTTCAAAAATAACTTGGGCGAAAGAAGAAAGAGAAAAAAGATATACGTATAAATGTCCTTGTTCACAAAAAAAGAAAAACACATGCATAAAGTGAAAAAACAAGGCCATCCTATATCATATTTAACAACTTATGGACTAGTATATGATCGTTAAAAACGTTTGTCATTTATGATCCGCATCGGTTAGCTTATCATTTTTTGACAAAAAAGGCTTCCTTTATGCTACAAAACATAAAAGGGATGTCGAGTTTGGTCCGCCAGTGTACAAAATAGGTAAACAAAAACATACACTAATTGCTAAACTTTTTCTTAAAGTATTCGCAAGAGTGCAGCATTTTCTTGAACTGCTTGTGAACTAGACTCTCAGTTATGTTCAGATTTTACAAAGACTTTGTTTTGAGTATATGCTAAAACAGAAATCTAAAAGAGAAAAGTAAAAAACGATCAAGGAAACTATAGTTTATGGGAAATAAAGGAATGCGAGTGATAGAATACTTCAACTATTATGAAGCAGAGGAGAAGAGATTTTTCACTCGTTCGACTTATAGGAAAAGTGCTTGTGCCTCAGTATGCTTCGAAAATTAAGGCTAGTAGACTGAATTTTGTGAGCATGCTAAACAAAACCTCAGTCATATCCGCAGACAGGGCGCGTGCTTCGCTACTGGACATGTGTTTTAAGATGGGCATCTGGATGGTGTCCGATAATGTTGATTTGAAATAATTAAAACGCGCCAGGTGTGTAGCCACAACACTAGTCGGGACAGGGGTCCTCATCCGTCTTTTCTGCGGTGTCCGGATGTCGTCATTCTGTCAGAACTGGCATTTTGCTCACACCCTTTTTGGCTTTGGTCACCCGTCCGACGCCAAAAACGGATCCCACTTTTTAGCCGTCTTTTGTTTACCTGGGAATCCACATGATGTTCTATAAAATCCGGTTGATTTTCGAATTTTTGTAAAATCATTGTTGATTTTCCATTTTTTAGAAAATGAATTTTGCAGAAAATCAAATCGAACTTCTACTTTCTAGAAAGTCGTGGATTTTTCAGAAATTTGAAATTAGCTCAGCGATTAATAAAAGTTGGAAAATGATTCAGCTTTTTTTAAGTCGATTTGCTATAAATTAGAATTTATTTCTATTTTGCAGTGTCGAGGCCCGGCAACGGCTGCTCGCTTATGATAAAATAATAATATTGACGCAAACTTTAGCTAGAAAACGAAAGAAACACGCCGACATAGTTGAGTAACTTTACTAGTATTAACTAAATGTCCCTCAATTGACAAAATCGCATAATACACGCTAAACCGGCAATATGAATATTACATTTCTTTGTACATCAAATATATGGCTTATTGCCTTTGTCTAGATTTAAAACGATTAAACAATTGTCAGTAAAATATGAAGAATCAACGATTTCGTGCAGCAGTAAAACGTGTAATCAATACAGTACCATTTTTCCTAGCAACACCAACTGTACCGATAATATTAGATGATACCCTAAAGAGTGAACAAGAAGACGATGAAATGCACTTACCATTGGGGACGCAAATAAAGGACCTCTGGCAAAATGCCACAGTTTTGTTCTTATACTCCTTCCTCACCCGCTTTGGACATTTGGACCTAAAAACCCTTTTTTAACGTAGCTTAGGAGTGAGTTTCTAAAAGTGGAACAGGGATGATTATGAGCTATCTCCAATTCACCGATTTTAACGCGCTATGAAGCACCATATTTGGTGTGAAGATATGAATCTCTAAACGTTTTTGTTCACGAGTTACGGGTGCCTCAGGTGTGTTCGAGACAATATCGCTGAATATCGTACACACAAATAGCCCATGTTGGTTTTAAGGAGATATATCTGACATAAGAACATGAGGCTACGTCCCACAACGAAATTTTTGCATTGTTCATTACGGTTTGAAAACTAAGAAATATCACATTTTGCTCAGTTTTCTCCGTTCTATCGACGCATTAATATATGCTCAATCGGAACGTAAGAGTATCAAAAACTTTCCTCGACCCACGCGAACGATGCAAAATTCTTTGGAGCTTCTGTGACTAGTTTCTGATACAGCGAACTCTGATATATTAGCTAGACGGTTGACTCTCGTTACTATACGTACTGATCAACTAATACTTGATGGTTTTTTGCAATTGCCGAAGGCGATCTGGTATTTTGTCCAAGTTAGCGAGTTCTGTTCTGGGACTATACTTGTACAACGCTTGGTAACTATTGAAAGTTGACTTCAAAATAGAGGTTAAGAGAAAAAGTGAAAGAAAAGTCGAATAAATGAAGTTCGGTTTCGCTCGACACCTCTTCCGCCTAAACACGCCCGCCCTTTTTGTGTGACCGTATTAAAAATATTTGATGGTAAAATGTCATCAATCGGTGATTTAAAACAAGCATTTAGTTCGTATTTATGGTTAAGGAGAATAAAAGAAATATTTCTTGTTATGGATACCAGTAACCAAGACGATCCGTTCACCAAATATAACATGGATTTTGCCAAATTGGAAATGATGGAAATATCTAATATATTTCTTCAAAATGCCAAACCAAAACCGCAAACACGTAATCAGGTTTGAAATGAATGAACTTATTCCCTTGACTGAAAGTCTAGTATCATATGTAATGCGAATGTCGGCAAAATATAAAAATGCAATAAAGACCAGAGGATAATGTTCATAGTGTCAAAATGCTATAGGTTTGGTAACCGATCATGGGGCTTCAGAAAACGCTGGTAAGCGACCTCTAGGAGCCGCAGAGGGAATGGAACCACAGGCAGGGTAAGTCTTAAGAGCCTTACCCGGATGTGGCTCGATTAGGCTGAGCCTTACGCCATTTTCATGTAGAATTTTGAATTTAGCACCCTGTTATTTGGATAAAATGGTGTCATGGACAATTGTACTAATGTTGAGAGTCTAAAACGATAACTACACTTTGAAGTATGTGTACGTGCATATATTTGAAGTTAGGAACTCAGGGACTGAGGAAATCAGAAATTTATGTAGTCATATATGTGTGTATATATATATGAAGTTAAGAACTCAGGAACTTAAAAATTCATGTAACCGCCCGCCCCGCATAATAGAGGACCACCTGCTCTGTTTTTTCTCCCGGCAGATCGAGTTCTAAAGGATGGTTTTCTATTGCGGTCAAATGTTGTCACCTGCTAGTAGTCCATCGGTAAGTCCCACGTACCTGAAGTTCATCCCGTATTAGAAAACATTTGAGCGAAATTTTTTTGAAAATTGCTATAGGATTTCCGATTTTTTTGGGCGAACATAATAGAAGACCAGTGGTCTTCTGGGGATTGGAAGACCATGGTCTTCTATTTGACTTTCACGTCATATAATCGGCAGTGGTCTTCTAATAGGGGATCGTCGTCTATTATGGGAGAGGGTTTAGTCGTATATGTGTGTATACAGATGAATTCAGGAATTAAAAGACTACTAAATTACAAAACAACTTTCACAAGCCTATAAAACAAAGACAGAATTAAAATCGAAGCACTTCAGAATTCTAAAATGACATAGTAGAAAAGACTTTCTAAAAATTCTGTTCTAAAATTCTCTGCTTCGGTACTGAAAGCGAAACTCGGAGTGACGTGTCCAAAAAATTATCACAAGCCTGACACATTTTCGGAAATAGTAATGTTTCGTGCAATGTAGCAATGTTTCGTGTGCTAAATCATTTGTTGAAGTAATGATAATGATGCCGCTGAAGTATGATTTTTGTAAACAAAGTAATCGGTCCGATGACGCTTTTTATCTAGATCATAAATATCAATTTCATTTTGGATAAAAAGGCTTTTTTGATCAAAATATTACAGAGCTGTCAAATTACTATTATACAGTAGAAGGCTGACTTAAGGCTAAAGTATTAAATTTTTGACATTCTACGCTACCGAGAGTTTCAAAATAACTCGCGTACAATCGCACTAGAAAAGCAAGACTTCCAGAACTTCAGAATTTGAACACTGTAGAATTTCAGAATCTGAGAATTTCACATTTTCTACGATTTCAGAATCTCAGAAATTTACGGTGCCACATTTCTCTGAAGTCACAAACACTTAGAATTTCGGAATTTAAGAATTTCTTCGACATTTCTGAATATTAAACCTTAAAGTCCAATGTCCATTTGAACGGACCTTGACATTATCATTATAAAAAACTAAGGAAGCATTGTTTGGAATAACTGATATCTTAATGGTTGTAGAGAATTAAATTGGCTATCAAATGATAAAAAGAAATTTTTGTTTGTGCTGCATACTAGCTGAGATATTGAAATTTTATAATGAAGATTTCGAAATAATTTAATTTTTTTAATGTACTTTTTTCAGGTACTTTAGGAAAGGCTGGACCTGTACGGAAGTATCCAGCTGACAAAATTTGAAATAGTACACCTCCCTACATATTTCTGAAAAGTCATTGAACTACACATCAGTTCTTCGAGATCTTGTTAGGTACTGGCTTTGGTCAAGTGGTTTTTCTTGTGGCGGTTTTCTAGAAATGCAGTCAAAATCCTATCATCGGGATACGGTCAGAAACGGGAAAATATACTAAATTAGCCATAAAATGACATTCTGGAACCAAATTTCAGGTTAGTTTGGAATCAATACTTATGAGCAACTGAGGATTTTGACGGGATTTCTAGAAAACCACTTGGCCAAAGTCAATACCTTACGCCTTTTGTAGTGCGTGAGCTAATAAGAACTCGAAGAACTGATGTGTAGTTTTCGAGGGAAGAGGCCAGGAAGGGTCAAAGTAGGCCTCACGGCTACGCTTACTATGAAGGAGTAAGAGATGCTAGAGACTTCATTATTGCGTCATACGGACAAACTTGGAAGCCGCTTTCATTTGAATATAAATAAAGTTATGTTTTGTTACACTTTCAGTATTTCGGAATCCAAGAAGTTTAGAGTAATACTATTCTCGCAACAGATAAATTCTTGTAATTTCAGAATCTCAGAATCTTAGAATCTGAGAAGTTTTGAACAACGCTGTTCTATGAATTTCAAGATATTTAGAATTTGAGAATCTGTGTAGTTTAGAGTTCCACTATTCTCTCAATCGAGAAATATTTGGAATTTTACAATTTTAGATTTTTAGAATCTGAGAGTGGGTAATATCCAAGGTGGAGAATAATACTCTTCTCTGAATTAAGAAATATTTAGAATTTCTCAATTCCAGAATCTCAGAAGTTCAGAATCTTAAAAGTGTGCAATGTCACTGTCGTCTGAATTTCGAAACTTTAGAGTTTCACAGTTTCAGAGTCTGTGAATTGCATATGGCATACGGTAAATGAGAAACTGTCCGATCGAAAATAATTCCCAACTTGTTGTGAGCACGTGGCACTTCATATATTAACTCACACTCATCTTCCTTCCCCCTCCTCCCCCTTCCCCCGAATGCACTCTTCAAATTCTACCATCTTCAACAGAATGTTGATAGCCTGAAATGCGGAGGTTATGAAATTATACTCCCTTTGAAATTCCGCGAATGTTAATCCTTTAAGTCCCCAAGGCTTCAAGGCTTGGTTTTGGGTCAACCCCTTGGAAAAATGAAACGTATGAGACCTCGATATGAGTTTCTCACGCTCAAAAAACATTACTTTTCATTTTTAAAAAAGTTCCTGACTTCATGTATATATACACACATATATGACTACATGAATTTCTGAGTGCCTGACTTCATATACGACGCACATATACACACTTGGGAATTTAGTTATCGTTTTAGACTCTCAACATTAGTACAATTGTCCGAGCTCTGGATAAAATTTGGCTACATTGGCAGAAAGGCCTTATTTATCTGAAGAAAAGGCCCAAAACGTTGTGCTGCTCGAATATAACTCTGTTGAGAGAAAAATTACAAGATCAGTTCAGGTTTCAAGGCTTGAGCTTTTCTGTAATGAAAAAAACAGCTGTAAAATAAAATTTATTGAGTACAAACAGGTCGAGTTTAAGCATCAAAATCTTTATCAGTTACGGTAATAATATTGCATCGTGCAATATTTCGGACCATATCCAAATCCTTGATGTATACGTCAATAACGTTATCTATGTTTAACAATTGGAAACAAATAATTTGAAATACTTTCTGCAATATATTCATACATTTATTCTTCATTAGTTTATCAACTGCAAAATTAAAACTTGTAGTTGCAAATGGCATGAAAGTGGAAGTGTGAGCATAAGAGAAGGTGTTATTTTTGACCTCATGTCCAGAAGTACAAAAAGTAAAGCGGATCTTCGATAGATTTTTCAGAAAACCTCTGAATATCTTAGCACGAAAAATAATTTTAATATTCCTGAACTTGCATTTTATTTGCGTAACCACGCAAAAAAATTTTGCAATTCCTACTTGGGCGGTCACCCATCCACTTACTAACCAGAAAAAAGACAAATTCATTGTCACAATTTGTGTATGAGTTATGCGAAATATCGGCAGTTTTGGCCTATTTTTAAAAAGTTTCTCAAAAATTCAAGTTTTAGGCTGTAATGTGGATTCTTGCTCAGTTCGAAACGCCATCTAAAACAGTATCTAGCCTGATATTTTGATGGCCTTTCACTGATATTTTGTCAGGAAAATAAGTTTTTCACATTTTGATACGTTTCCGGGACTAAAAGTAGTTTGTGAAAACCTTGCCACGAATTCCGGTCGCAGATGATTTTTGCGAACAAAAGCCCCGTAGTGGAAGTTGTTCAGAATGTAGTTCTACGGCAGATCACGCGACAGTTTTGTAGAATTCTACTTTAAGGATTTTTAAATGAAAAATGCAAATGTTTTTAAGTTCAAATTCTATTAAATTTCGATTTAAAACCTTAAGGTAAAATTCCACAAAACTGTCGCGCGGCCTGTTGTAGAACTACATTCTGAACAACTTCCACTACGCGGCTTTTGTTCGCAAAAACCATCTGCGACCGGAATTCACTTATTTTCTTGACAAAATATCAGTGAAAGGTCATCAAAATATCAGGCTAGATACTATTTTAGATGGCGTTTCGAACTGAGCAAGAATCCACATTATAGCCGAAAACTTGAATTTTTAAGTAACTTTTAACGATTGGGCAAAACTGTCGATACTTCACGAGAAAACTTTGCCCCCACAGATTTGAAATCCGTTCCTGGAAACAGTTCAAGATACACCTTTCAAAGTATCCTCTACCAGCTGGTGCACCCATTTCACGGGTTAGAGCCCCGCTTAAGTCTAATATCTACTAGCTGAGTCTCTCTGCAGATATTTTTCGGCAATGCTCAAGATTTCAATATATTTGTTACGTACATAACAAAGTAACAGATCACAACAGCTCGGAACAGTTACCTCCGGACAGTTCAAAAAGGATTGAAGCTCGCATTCCAGAAACAGACGAATACGCAGGAACTGTAAGACATTTCTGATAATGGAAACACTCCTCAATCGTTCCTAGTTTAGGAGCGCTAATTGAGAGAACAGTTCCTGTTATTGAGAAGCTGCAGTTCAGGGACCTACGAACTGTCACAGGCCTATTACGAAGCAAGCACTTCTGTTTTTAGGTTGTGGACAAAAAAGCCAAAGAAAAGTGGGAAATGGAAAAAACGGCTGTACAAAATTTCCAAGAACACTTTGTTCAGCAAAATATCAATGTGAACACTAATCGTGAAAAGGTAAAACTAAGCATTTTCATCTTTGACACTATATGGATATCAGATTCGTGATCGGTATCTCAAATTATCCACAACCAGCATATTTCGCTGAAATTCCACCGTCACACTTAGGGATGTTCTCTCGAATTTGTAAGAGCTTATTACTTGGGGTGTTCATGTCGAATAGTTAATGAAAATATGTTGTCCTCCACTTTGTCTTAGCAACGAATTGTCTTAGCAACGATACAAAATTTAGAAAAAAAGCGAATTATTAAGTTTTTGCACTTGAATTGACGATTCGATTCGAATGACGTATGAATGAACGTTCTATCTGTTGATACAAAAAATTAGATAGAGTTACCAAAATTGGTAATCTAATCGACGCTAATATAGAGCCCGATTTTTCAGTTTGCACATGTAATAAATGATAGGACTCTAAACAACATTTCTAGATTCATTTTTATATAAGGAATTCGAAAAACATAACGGTGAGAGCAAGAAGTGCGAGAGACTAACGTTAACGGTGTTTTTTCAAAAACGGAAAAATTTTAGGGATTTTGTACTCGTCCTCGTATTTTGCCATTTTCTACTCGAAGACTTTATCAAAATTTAAAAAAAAAGGTTATATTCGTGATCAGCATTACTAGATCTATCCGTCGATGTGTGTTTCAGCCAGAAAAATAATGTACTGAACTTTTAAATTAGTGGCGGCTTATCTCTATTTTACAATAATACAGATACTGTATAAAAAGTGAAAGCTTTATTGTAACAAAACTTGTCTTTCATTTTATTTAATAGATATCTATTATTGATGTTGAAACAGGTCGTCATTTTCGTTATTCAAGTTCCATATGGTGGTATTCATGGAATGAAGCATTTATTTATCGTCAGATCAATAATATTTTACGTATGGAAAATATTGAATTATTAATATCTTATCGTTATTTTATTATTGATCTATGTCAAATGATTAAAAAACGTTACCATGAACAACGGAAACAGCGACCAACAATGGTCTATCGTGCTGAATGGATTGAACAAGGTCAGTTTGATAGTCTAGAAGATGCATCAACAGAAAAAGAGCAATTGCAATTAATATCAATGAATGGATTTATCTCCACAACAACTGATCGAACAATATCCGAATTATATGCTAATAAAGAATGTACAAGACCAAATGTTGTAGCAGTTATCTATGAAATTAGAATTGATCCATCAAAATCATGTACTGAATTTGCTTTAATTGAAGATATTTCATATCATCCAGAAGAAAAAGAAGTACTTTTTAGTATTGGTGCTGTTTTCTCGGTTGATTCGATTCAAGAACCAAAAGCACCCAATAATTTTTATACAGTTCAATTAACAGCATGTGAATACAATGAAACAATTATTGATGATGTGAAATTAAAAATTCGAAACTATACACAACCAGAGTTATTTATTTTAATAGGTAAATATTTGATTGAATTAGAGCAATATCGTACAGTTAAAAAAACCTTTAATGCTCTATTAGAGAGTAAGCAAATATTGGAAAATGGTCCGTCATTAGTTTCTGCTTATAATTGTATCGGTATGATGCATTCAAGAATGGATTTATATGGCGATGCGATTCAATATTATAAACAAGCATTAAAATATCAAAGCAAATTTGATTTATCTGATAATAATACATTAGCTGCATGTTATAATAATATCGGCTCTGTTTTATTGAAACAAAATTACATTGATGAGGCTTTGGCAAATTTCAATGAAGCATTACGTATACAGAGTCGTGAACCATTAGATAAAGAACAAAATTTAGTATCGATATATTCCAATATTGGACGCGTTTATACGAAGAAAGAAAACTATGATAAAGCAGAAGAATTTTTTATCAAAGTTGAAAAATTAATTGATCAAAACAAAGATGAACTAACATATGATGCATTAGAAAAATCATTGACTATAGCAGATGCTAAGCTACATCATGCTATTTTAAAAGGAATAATGGACAAGGATTCTGTCAGTGATGTGTCCCTATATTATAATGTCCCACAGACCTATGCAAAACTTTTGCCTTTTAGTCATCCAAAACATACAAACGCTTTAAAACACTTAATTATTTCATCAATTCTTTCAGGCAAGTTTTGTTACACAGAAGAGTTGGTCGATCGTGTAACCAAATTGCAAACAATAAATCGTCGGAATGTATTAGAATTATTTAATCTAACAGCATGCCTTTACGTTCATGAAAAGAGCACAAACTTTAGAGACTTCAGTAAAGCCATGAATATTTGGAAAAAAATTATTATTCGAATAATGAATACTGAATTCAACACCAAAAATAATTACAATGTTAATAATGTTATATATGAATCATACGAAACTGCCATAGCGTATTATAAAAAGCAAGAAATAAACTCGCAAGTATTGTTTAATCTTGGAATACTTTTCACATTACAAGATGATGTTGAGAATGCACTTTCATATCTTACTCAGGCGATGACTAATAGTGATTTAGATAAAAGTGATGTATTCCTTTGTTTAATTATTCTTGGTAATCTAAATGTACTAGAACAAAATTACTCAGCTGCCGTTGAATATTATAATACAGCTACACTTGTAAGCAACGAAAATATCAGCAACGAATATATCAGCAATGATTACATGAAGATTGAATTATACTTAGCAAAAGCTAATTGTGATAAGATAAATGCATTGCAAATTTTAATACATCTGGTAGAAAATATGAAATTGCTAAATAATGATTTAGATGATGAAATTATTAAACAACGAACAATGGCTTATGAAAAACTTTCACATGAACTGATGAAACGTAAAAGCTATACTCTAGCATTTATATATGTGAATAAAGCAATAAATTTAAAATCGAAATATTTGTCAAAAAATCATCCACATTTAGCTCAAAGTTATTTATTGATTGGTAAAATTTTTGAAGAAAAAGGAAATTTTAATAAAGCATTAGAATCCTACGAAAAAGCACTGGAAATCCAACATGTTAATCTTCCTCAAAATCATGCTGATATAATGAATGTAAAACTTGAAATCGGTCATTTATACTGTAAAATGGAAAAACTGGATAAATTAGAGGTCTTTTACGTTACTAGAGATCAGTATAACATACCTGAATGTAATGCATCGATTACCATTCTATTGAGTGCTACAGCTGAACTTTATCGCAAGCGAAAAGAATACTGGTTAGCACTACATAGAGAACAAGAATCAAATAATATTCGACAGTCACAGCTGTCTCAGATTATTATACAAACTGTGAAACAAAAACCAAATATTACAATGGAAAAACTTAAGCAATTATTACCAACTACAAAATCGATGTTAAAAGTTATTTTACAAAATTTGTTATATATTTATATGGAATTAAGTAAAATTCAATACAAAACGCAAGGAGGAAATGGTAAAAAAGAGGAAGATGCTAAGAATGATTGGATTGAAAGTAAGAAAAAAGCACGAAATATCAGATCAAAATTATTTTCACTATGGACAATAGAAGAGAAAAGGGTGCATCACACAGATGATGAAGAGAATATGCTGTATAGAAACGAAGGCAGTGGTCCCCACATAATAGCTAAGTTAAGACAGAAGAAAGAGCGATATCAATCGCTCATTCATAAAGAAAAGAAAAAATTGTTAAATTTAACAAAACAAAAACCAGTTGATTTCTTAACAAATACAGATGGAAATCTGCAGTTCATTTCAGAATTTCTTGCGAGTTTTGCTTTGAAAAAGTTGTCATCGATTACCGAAAATATTCTCAGTCGGTTATACATTGATTGTGGTACCATTTGTATTCAATTATTCAATTATTCGGAAGCTATACAAATGTTTTTCCAAGCATTTCAATTACACATAGAAGACGTACAAAATACAACAACAAGAGGTAACAAAATAGTTGATGATTTTATTGATATTTTACAAACGTCGTCTTCAACATCAATTACTACGATTATTGATACCTTACATGCTATTTTATATTACTATTTTCCAGATGAAATAACCATGATGATAAATGATAAAATATGGTTATTATTGAACATCGCTATGCTACATCGAGCGCATGAGGAAGATGAAACCGCTATTAAGTACTACAACGATGCACTACAGCAGCTATTAGCCGATAATAACGAAAAGAAAAACTATTTAAAAATTGCTGCAATACAATTTATAATTTTAGGATTGTTTCGGCCAGAACAAAAAGAAGCTGGTAGTTTGTCATTACCCTCATCATTATTATCGCCCAACGATGCATTGTTGCTAGACAGATTGACAAAAAAAAGTACAAAAGAAGTCGAAAGAGAATTTAATGAGAACGTATTCCGTGATCGAATATTGGCACAAAATAAATCGATTGAGTTCTATAAAGAACATACTATTGGACAATGTTTAACAGATATCGGTGATCATATTGCTGGTATTGCATATTGGACAAATATATTAGAAGACCAAGAACAGCATGTATCAAAAATTTTAATGAAGATAATTAGTTCTCCAACATCAACTGTCAGACAAATTTATAATGAAATGAAACGAATGGACATTGAGTTCGTTCAACAATTAAAATCAATAGCACAAAGTTATAAAAAAATGGCAGTTGACACGGAAGAAGAAGCAAACAAGGACATATTAAGAGATATTGATATGGCTATTAATGAATATGAACAATCAGGAGAATTTTATGCAATATCGAAATTCATAATGTTAATTAGTGGTGATGACTGTAATCAAATCGAGCTGTATAATAAAGAGATGTCAAGACTAGAAATAAATTTGCGAAATGTGAAAAGGAATTACTATGGTGTATGTAGCAATTGTCAAGAACTACTGGTTCCTGTTCAATATAAATGTACAACGTGTAATGATAACTATAGTCTTTGTCAGTCTTGCATAAAAGACAGAAATAATCACTTTGAAATCGAAAGTCATCACATGGCAAGATTACCTAATGGTTGTTTTAAATGTTCAAGTTGCAAGGAATTAATCATTCGTAACATGTATAGATGCTCAGCATGTAAAGATGACATGTTTTGTGAGGCATGTGCTTGTTCAACTACTAAAAGTGTACATCTACTGCATAGTTTAACAAAAATCGGTCTATATTCAACTGTCTAGCCACTGTTCGGATATTGAAGAGTCACGGTTTTTCGAGTTACTCCTAATCCAATGTAGTCAGAGACCGTTTTCACCGTCTTTCTGGCCTCTCAGCCCACTCCGACACAAAATGCATCTACAGTCATATCATTCTGACTCCTCGCACCTTGTCTCACTATGTAGTAACCGGAAGGCCCCCGTAATAATTGTAATGTTACGACCGTTAAATTATACTATACATGTACAGTATGTCTAAACTATAACTTATGCGACGACTGTATAGCTTGCAATACAGTTCATCCTCAAGACCATAAAATGATTAAAGTAAATTACAGCACACGGTGCCAGCAATGTTACGAAGCAATTATTGATGATCGACGATTTTTATGTGTTGAATGTGAAGAGTATGACTTGTGTAAAAGTTGTGTAGATCGACAGGTTCATTTCGAGCATAAAACTATAGAAAGAAATTAGAATTAACGGCACATATTTAAATCTGTTAATCGAACAAACACAGATTAGAATATATTCACATGTTATTAATCGCTAATATAACCTACATTTTAAATTCATTATGTATTTTTTTATTAAATTTGAACTACATTCATAGATTATATTGACAATCTATTCTCTGTATCTCAAATATTCAACCAAAGATCTGTACGAATAGCATAAGAACGAAATTAACTTATTTGCAGAGCTGATAATACCATCATCTTCCTGATTTCAGTTACACTCTCTATCCGGCCTTTGTGTTCAACGCTTTCTGATGATCACTCAGACGTTAACTTTTAATTTTTTCACATATAATTCGACAGCAAAATCCAACAATTTATGAGACAGGGCCTATGGCAACGAAAGTACTACCAACCACAACATAATCTTGCACAATCGCTCTCACAGATTTGATTAGAACTTTTCCCTTAGAAAGGTACATCATATTATAGAACTAATCCCAAAATTTTAGTCCAAACGAATCTATCGTCCAAAGATAAGGAGTGGAGCTGGAAATTCGGCGTTCTTTTGGGATCGGTTTGAAAGAGTAAAATATCATTTTCTAGACAGCTGTAAACAATATAATAGTGACTTTTTCACCAAAGTCAAAATATCTTTGGGCTGATAATGTTTGCAGGGAATCCTACCACATAAAATACCATCATGCGTTCCCCACAACTGTTATTCCTTTGTTATTATGCTAAATGGATATAATTGTCCTTGGTCGATCCGTTTATTTGTGATATTCTAGTTGTTTGTCTAGGGAGAGTTATGGACAACTGCTTTTCTCCTAAGGAATAATAATCTAAGTATTCTGACGTAGGCCGTCTTATGTCCATGGCTTCGTATTTTGCAGTTTTAGAAGCTACGGAAGTCGAGCCGCCTCTTTTTTAATAAGTGATTTATATTAGAGTTTCATTGACTTTTATAAAAATAGTTATTATATTGGTAGAACAGACAGATTATTAAAGTCTTATGGAATAAATATTTTTCTTGTTCTTAGTTCGCTAAAAATTCCATAAAGTACATTTCGAGGAAGAGCGATTCGCATTCAATGTTTTTTTGCACTAATAAATAATGTTCACAGATTAAAGAAGATTAATTTATTTCATATCCTTTACCCAAAAACTGATGATCTTCTGCTGAATCCAACAAGGAGGACAGATTCGAATAAAGTATAGTTCCCGAGCAACTGCTTGTTGTAAGTTTACCATTATGCCTATAAGCATAAACCAAATATCTTTTATTTAACTGAAAATAATAACCACGGGTAAATTCTTGTGTTGACGTTTCGACGTTCAAATATTTCATTACTCTGCCTTTCCAAAGTGTGTCACACTTAAGTGTAACCAAATTATAATCTATGCCTAAAACACGGTCACTTTTTATTGGATGAATTTTGACAACAGTACCAGAAAATATCACATAACAATTTTTTATCTCCCTCCTGATATCTAACGGCATACAGCTACACGCACGGCATAACTGAATTACGCTGATCATTAATAAACTGATTAATCAGGCTCTTTCAACGGTATAACCGAACATTTTTTTAACCAAAATCTAAAATAATTAAATTTCTTTAGAGTACAGCATTTCCCGCCATTTCGATTTGGAGAAGAGGGAAATCTGTCCTCCTTGTTTGAAAAAATTACTCAAAAATAACTTTTATTCAAATAAAACTAATAGAGTGACCCTCCTACAGAGCAATGGTGTAGTGTGAGAACTTTTTTCTTTTGTGCACAATGGTTTAGAAATATCCTGCATGTTTGATAGTTTTACACATGTCTAGTATTATTCTCTTTTTAATAACAAGTCTTTGTTTGATGACGCATCCGTGGTTTTCTCATACTCTCCCTTTCCATTTTCTACGGTTTTCTCTGTATAACAAAAAGATATATTTTATTGGACAAGCCCTCAAGTTTTAAAAAGTCAAAAAAAATTAGAAGAACAAGTAATAATTCTTCCCTCGTCCACTCTCCCGCCATGACGAACATCTTAAATATATGACTATTAAAAGATAAAATGAAATCGGTTTGATTGAAAATTATCGCAACAGTTTTGTTTTATATCGAACTCAAATGGTATATAAAGAAATAATAGACAACAAGTAATTAATGTTAATGGTGTCAAATATTTTT